TGTGTGGCGCAGAAAAGCATGGAGGAGGTGTGATGGTGTGGGGGTGCTTTGCTGGTGACACTGTTGGAGATTTATTCAAACATGGCAACCACAGCATCCTGCAGCGACATCCCATCCCATCCGGTTTGTGTTTAGTTGGACCATCGTTTATTTTCCAACAGGACAATGACCCCAAACACAACTCCAGGTTGTGTAAGGGCTATTTGTCCAAATAGGAGAGTCATGGAGTGCTGTGCCTGATGGCCGGTCCTCCACAATCAGCAGACCTAAACCCAATCGAGATGGTTTGGGATGAGATGAGATGAGATGAGATGAGATGAGATGAGATGAGATGAGAGGAAAGGCAAAAGAGCCAACAACTGCTCAGCATCTGTGAGAACTCCTTCAAGACTGTTGGAAAACCATTGTAGATGACAACCTCATGAAGCTCATTGAGAGAATGCCAAGAGTGTGCAAAGCACTAATCAAAGCAAAGGGTGGTTACTTTGAAGAATCTAAAATATAAAACATGTCTTGAGTTATTTCACACTTTTTTCCATGTGTTCATTCATAGTTTTGATGCCTTCAGTGAGACTCTACAGTGTAAATAGTCATGAAAATAAAGAATAACCATTAAATAAGAAGGTGCGTCCAAACTTTTGACTGTTAGTGTAAATCTATCTATCTATCTATCTATCTATCTATCTATCTATCTATCTATCTATCTATCTATATAAAAAACTGTACAGTATGTGGGCCACGTGCAATGTGATTCCCAACAGCACCAACTCCATGTGATGACATAAAACTTTTAGAAATGCACTTTACTGAGCAGGATGACTCATAATCCAAATCATGATGTTAAAAATGCATTTTCAAAACCTAGAAGCACAGATCTGAGGATGAATATAAGGCATTAGTTAAGGAGCAATACATATTGCAATCCTTCCACATAGATTCATTAAACATTGAGCAAACACATTTTGGTTGTTAAAACCAGACAAATTTCAGAGACCTGAGTAGACTTATACAGCATGCAGCATTTTCCGTGTTCATTTACTTTGAGGTTTTCTGCCACAAGTAGCAGGTGCATTAACCCCTTAGCAGTCCTACAAATTTACAATTAGTCCCCTAAACCATCCAATGTACCGTGGGCGGTACGTCCGACTGCTAACAGGTTAAGTATCAAAAGAAATCGATGTGATTGTCGTGAGACAAAGAGCACAGACATTGCAATTATTGTGAGTGTATAAGAAAACATAGTTGAGCCAAAAATGGAAGATCGAGTCAAATAAACATGAACACAAAAGAAAATGAGACAGAAGAAGAGACCACAGTCTATTACGAGTTCCATCTTGTAGTTTGTGTCTACATTGATTTGTTGGGGACTAGGATCTCTGCCTCTTCCCAGCTCACCTAATTGCACTCACTGTGACCCGCTAATTACTTCACTAAGACCTAGCTGGTCTCACTTCACTGCACTACTTCTCTGTCTAAAGTCGTCTCCATACCAGTGTGGGAGGGTGGGACAAGGAATGAAAGTAAATGTGAAGGCACAAAGGGCAAACGAGGCTGGATTAAGAATGCATGATATATGTCAAAGCAGGAGACAGAAACAGGATGTAGAATGAAACAACAAGTGACAGACAGACCAAGTTGGGAGCATATGTTTTATATCTGAGTTAGTTTTAAGATGGAGGGTACTGATGCTTTTGTCTCCAACTAATCTGCATACATAATTAAATAAATCTCTGCTGATTAGACAATCACAATGATGAAGACAATAATGACAGTTAATTCACTGGGAACAACATGAAGCTAACCTACCTGATGGGATGAGCCCAAATTCCCAGCTGGGTACAAGAATGCCAAAAGGATTCTTTGTACCAGTATCTTCTGTTGTTGGCGGGGTTTTATGTTCCTCTGACTTTAAGCCCTTGAATGGCGTCCAATGGCTTCCCACAACAAAAGACTCAGAAACGGCAGATCTGGATTCCATTTCTGTAGCAGCAACCTTGATGTCTGATACGGCAGTAGTCAAGTGAATGACTCCAGAAGTGGTTGTGGATGCTCCTTCGGGTGAGGGAGTCGATGAGAGGCCCTGCATGTTGGGGAAACTTGTAGCTTTCTCCTTGTCTTCCTGAGCCCATGAAATGGAAATAGATGGCTCCTCTGTATAAGATCTATTTTCTATAGTGGCTGCTGTGGTAGCAGGATCCACTGTCTGTGCATCTCTGCCCAGAAGCTCTGCCGTCGTCATTTCAGAAGTTGTCAGCATCTCTATCAAAGCCTCATGTGCAGTAATCATCACCTCATCAGTGCTTGTATCTTTACTGTCTTTTCTATAAACTGGGGTGAATCCGGAGTTTGAACTAACTTCCCCGCTGTGTGAGGAGGTAGATGAGAGCTTGTCAGTAGGCCTGTGAATATAGAAGATCTCGCCCCTAGCCTCCTCTGCTGACTCTGTTTCCTGGGAGACCTGAGGTGGGGTGGTGGGCTGTTCCACCAGCTGCCAGTGGGACAGAGTTGTGCGCTCAGTCACAGTGGCAAAATCACTGTGGCTGAGTGAAGATTTCGACTCAGTAATCACTTTGATGCCACTGCTGTCCAAATTGTTGTCTTTCACTCCAAATCCATCCGCCACGTTGCTCCCTTCTCCACTACCCTCTATCACTTTCTCCTCTCCTGATGCGCTTCTGGCAGTTGGAGTATTGACATTCTCTGTATCCTGCTCTTTGCCTTCACCTGAATAATTATCTGTGTAGTCCTGTCGAAGGAAGGTAGGCAGGGTCATCATCTCAATGGGTCCTGCTTTAGCTTCCATTGGCTCCCAGGTGGGTTTTTTACCCACATAGCCCACATTTTTAGGAAGGCCTAGTTTGGGAATGCGCATTGATTTGATGGCCCACTGAAACTGGGAGCTGGGAGCAGGAACAAAGGTAGGGTGTCGCCTGAGACCCTGAAGACTGGAGAAGTTGACATGTTCACTGGATGGTGAGCTCTCAGTGGGATCCGATTCAGGGATTTCTATAGAAAATACAGAGACAGAACAGACTAATTAAGCAAAGCATCAGGGGATGTTATCTAGAATTAGCAATTTAAAACTCAAGCACAGACTACATCAACCCCATGGAGACTGTTCAGGGAACATAGTTAAAAAATGAATGATAACAGCAAGAACACAGATTTGCTGTGGCCAGTGCTCTGAGCTGGAAATGCTGTGTGTTAACTGTATCTGATTTCATTCATAGTATTTGCATATTTCCTTTATTCCTGCACACACATTGTACGCAGTTATGAAATAATAGAATTCTGCTTTTTTCCCAACCGAACTGGAATTGGATTCAATTTGCGGTAATGGAAAGGGTGGATATTGAAGAATGAGGTAGGTTCACTGGTTTGTGCAACCACTCACCCACTCACTGATCAAGAACGAATAAATAACACGACATAAACGATGCAACTCTGCAAATAAAAGTTGCTCTACTTTACGGCAAATAAACCACAGAGCCATGAGCAACCTTGTGCCCTTGGAGAGCAGTTAAGAACAGTGGTCCTTGTTCTGCACTGCACAGCGTTTGGTTAGAGACCAACAGTGAACTTTAAAAGCAAAGAATAGCATCATTAGATGCAACACAAGACAGTGGAGTTGGAATCTATCCAATGGAGGATTTTAGATACAGTGGCTGTCAGCCTGCCAGTAGGGAAACAGAAGTCAGAAAGGGCTTGCACAGCCAGCCAGTCCTAGCTAAGTCTTGGTGAGAGAAACACTCAAATAATCAGGTCCAAATGTGTAAAAATAATCAAGTGTGTGAAAATGCATGTAAATAATGAAGAGGGAGTTCACCATGAAACAATGCAGACTGAAATGCCATGAAGTCATTCCTTTTATGCCTTTCTTCACCATTTGATTCCTGATTACACAAGCAACAATTCCATGATCTCCATCAGTAATATCCCTGTTTTTTTTTGTTTTGTTTTGTTTTATAAGAAGTTAAATAAACAAAGAATAATTCTTGGTTACTTGACCAATCAGGCTGAGTGGCTATGGTTTCAAACTGATTTCATTCACACTTATCTATCAGGATGCAAAAAAAAAAAGAACAGCAAAATGTTCCTCGTGCTTGACCGGAGCACAGAAATATCCAACACTGCGCTTTCCAATTGAGCTTGGAAAGTACAGTTTTTGTTCATCATATTTATCATGTAATAAACTAAAGCTGTTAATAATTTAAACACATTATTTCAGAATGAATTATATCAACCAAGATCAAACAAAGTAAACAATCTAGAGTTCTCTCAGATGTGTTTATTGCCTATGGAGCCCATTTCCCTCAAAGCTGCATTCTCGAGTAGAATTTACTCTTCTTAGTCTTGGTTTGTAACACAATCACTTGCAGAGAACAATTGTAGTTTAGCCATGCCATCTTTTTCTATTATTTCCATAAAACTATATTTTCTACATTTTTATGCACTGCTGCAACAACTTAAAGTGTATTAAAATGTCTTTAAAATCTTAACTGTGCTTTTACACGTTTACTACGGACGCAATGTACCTGAGATGTAGGTTCAATTTTTTCTTCTGTGTGTTCCTTGAAGCTGTAGTCAAATGATAATTTTGGCAAACTAAAAGAAGCAGTTAACTGCCATTTACTGTAAGCTGGATGTTTTGGATATTTTTCTGCACCACTGGAGCTGATCAGTGTGGGTATTAAAGTTGCTGGAGTTTGTAGACAAAAATGGGAACCTCCTCTTCTGGAGTATATGCACACATGCCCACGAATAAACTCACACCAAAAGGATGGGAGGATGTATTCAAATGTAATTTCACACTTCTCTGTCCCTGTTTCTCCACTCCCTGTGGATTCTTTTACCTAAAACAAGTTCCTGCTGGTATACAGTTGCCTGTAGTGAGAGAAGCCATGTGGAAAAATGCAGATGCACTTGCAGCACGATAAGCAAATGACTGGCTCCACAACAAGCTCCATCTCGATCTGTTTATTTAGATGAAATGTTCCACTGTATGTTATCAGCTTACAGCTTTAAACCAGACTCTGTCTACACCATCAATAATTCATTCTGTCTGCATGTGTAACTCATGGATGATGTTCGTGGGTATTTTATTTAGGAGAGTGGTGCAGTCACATTACTGAGAGGTCTAGTTAGTGATCCCACCTTTATAATCATTCAGCCCAGTTTGGCTACCCTCAGTTCGGTTAACGTGCCAGAAAAGTATAGCAATACAGCACAACAAATTACCTCAAGATGGACAACATGCACAAATATGTCTATGCATAAAATATTAAAGTGTATGTAAATTATTCAGAAGGTTCGCTGTTGCCGTATGCCTAAGTGAGGTTTACGAGCCTGAGGTTCATTTCCATAAGAGCCATGTAGCCTGGTGTAATTGTCCTATTAATAATCCAAATAGCTAATTACATACTTTTACTACACACACTGATGGAAGTGAGAATAATTAAGCACATTAATCTGGTTTGATCATCTATGTAATGAACCATGTAATAAATAAAATGAGACAATTAGGCATAGGTTTGGGTGATTTCATGGCGCTATTTAGAGCATGGTTAGAGTTCAGCTCAGCTGCTGTAAATCTGCTGGTGGAGGGCTTGGTGGAAATGGCCAGAACTCAGAGCAAAAATGCTGCAAAATAAACTTATAATGAACCTCATTCAGACAGTAATTGTGTGCTTCCACTGAGTGGTTCTGCTGTGTTGACTCCACTTTAGTGGAGTAAACGGGCTGAAAGAATCCCTGCAGGTCAGGCAGACATGATATTAAATTGCGAGCGAGGAAACTGACAATGATAGAAAGAGAAGGCGCGCGAGACAGAAGATGGTACTAATGCCAGCTCATTCCATCTACAGATATGGCATCTAATAAAAAAAGACTGAGGCAAAGTTATTGCATGGCCAGGTGAATCATGTCAGGAGCAGCCACACTGAGTGTCAGTGTGAAGACCTCACTGTCTTCTGAGACTGGTATGAAGCTGGCAAATATTTCCTCAGCTGTGATTCTTGACCTGAATATAATTTGTTAACATGCTGTTTCAGTTTATTAAAATGTTCAAAATACTCATATATTCTTGGCAAATAATTTAACTGAATGCTCTTGATGCAAATAATTCTTAAGCATCTGAAATAAATGTGATCATTATATAAATTCCCATCTTAACAAATGTTTTCCTCCCCTCAATCAAAGAGACAAAACAGCAATGTTAATCGCTATCAAGTGTTGAGCCCTTGATGCACAACAACAGCTAATTTAGATCATTGGTTCTACTAGACATCAGCTGGGCAGTTTTCCATCACAGCAACATTAAAGAAAAAAAAAAACTACACCTCACAGTCCTTCCTCCATCTTTCCCTTTGTTTGCTTCTTCCCTCCTATACTCACGCTCCTCGTGTGTTGCTCACCCACACTGCAGTGATCATTACTGCCTACCTTCAAAGAGCTGGGGCCTAATTGGCAGAGACATGGATGGTGGTTAGAGTGAACGGCATTGCAGCCCAGCCTCCATGTTAATTGGATAAGGTTGTGAATAATGCATGCGGACTAAAGGATGGATTTTCATTAATACCTTGGGATTGGGTTGCTATGGGATTTCAGGTAGCACAGCAGTGAGTATTTATATTAATAAAGCCAGCAATCGCTAGGTGAGAAAAGCCTTGCACCTTTATTGAATCATTCTTTTGGCTGATGGTGTGAATGTTTGTCTTACTTTGGATCTTTCCTATTTAGCTGGCGCCATGGATGTGTTATTTGTGGCAGCCATTAAAGAAAAGCTTCCTGCTTCCATCAACCCAAGGTTGTAGTACACTTTCTTTTTAGCCTTGCTTGTTTACCTCTTTCTGATGTGCTCTAATTTAGTATTATAGTAGAATACACTATATAAGGCAAAACAGTTGATGTGTACAATTTTGATGAGCTTTAAAGTCAGTATTTGGTAACACCATATTTATGTTTTAACACAGCCTGAACTCTCTTAGAATTCTTTCTTGTAATTCCTTTTACTATTCTTCAGGAATAGTTCTCCATTCTTCCTGAAGGACACTCAAAGCTCTTCTTTGGATGTTGGCTACCTTTTTGTTCTTTTCTTCGTCAAGATGAGGCAGCGTTGCTTCGGGAGTGTTGCTCTGGGGAGGCCAATCCATGACTGATAGTGTTCCATTGTGTTTTTCCATCCAGGTATGCTTGTATGCACTGACCTAATCAATTAACTTATTTACCAATCAAATACTTTAAAGATGGTATTGTATGGTGGATCAAAATCTGATGGCACTTCTCTGCATTCATAATTCCATCAATTTTGACAAGATTTTCAACACCACTCGCTAAAATGTGGCCCCAAACCATGACAGAGCCTCCACCATGTCTTACAGATGGCTGTAGACACTAACTGTTGTGCCTCTCTTCTGAACTTGTTGATCACGGTTTCAACCAGAAATTTCACATTTAGAGCCATCACTCCATCAGACCTGTTGCCATTGATTTTCAGCCCAGCTCTTGTGTAATTTGGCAGTTGTCAGGCTTTTCTTGCTGTTGTCTATCCAAGAATGGCTCCTTGACAGCTACACTTCCACAGAGACCATTTCTGACAAGGCTTCAGTGAATGGATGATGAATCAACTGAAGGGCCAGCTGCTTCTCTCAAGTCCTCTGTCAGGTCTTTGCTGGATACTGCTCTTCTGCTGCAGATAGTTTTTTTTAGACCTGCCATTTCTTCTTTTGTCCTCTGTTTGTCCTGTTTCCTCAAAACCTTTAAGGACACACAGCAAACTATGCTAAAAAATGCCTGTTTTTGGCTAATAACTCTTTGAAAATTACTTTATTGTACCACAAACACTATTTTATGCCGATCAAACTGTGTTATTTTTGGCATTTCTGTAGATTCAACAGAAGAAATAGCAACAAATGACGTGCTTTTACAACAGGCTGCTATTATAAGGCTAGCTAAAGAAACAGTTTAAAAATTTTCTTTGCCAAGCTGTCTGTCACAACGCTGGCTCGTCCCTTGAGTTAGGTGCCCCTTTTTATGCTTGAAGGATTCGAAGGTCAGTCTTAGGTGGCTTAACAAGCAAAGAGGCATTCCATTCAACATGGCCACATACAGGGACTGGATGGAAAATGTGTGAAAGAGCGGCCAATGATCAAAGACAAACTTTGAAAGACCTTCAGACAGCTGAGAGAACTATAGCCCAACGCCACTTTAAAACAATCACAAGAAAATCTGGCTCCTTGGGATCAAAGCAAAAAGAAATGAGGGGCTCAAGACTTTAGCACAGTATTATATAACAGACTTTGCACTCCAGATTCTCATGTCTTCCTTTAAATCTCAGGATTTTAGGACTTGTATGTTTGGATTTTTTTTTGTATCCTTGTTAATCACTATGAAAGATGGATTTTGAAATGTTTCTATATTATTCTATATTATAATATTAGCCACAGGTATTCCCACTAATATAGTCTAATATAGCTCCATTTCCTAAAAAAAACAGGCTGTAAGTTGTCCTCTTTTAAACAAAAAGACAAAAGACAAAAAAAAAAACAATTTCATCACATTCAAATAGGTTTAAAAAAGTAAGCATAGCTGTTACTCTTACAGCCTGCAATGTAAACAAAGCGCTTTTTGAATAAATATGAGAATGAAGGCAGAACACTCCAACACCCTGCATTACTGTATGTGCTGTGCCCCCTTTGTTTGTTTGCAATTACTGTTTAATTAAATTTACAGCGATACTTCAAATTGCCCTGCGGAGGAATATATTATGGCATACTCGAGGGGAAAGAAGATAGAGTGGAATGGAGAGGCAGAGACTATTTAAAAGGCATGACACAAACAGATTCTATATTTACCAGAGATATTCAAATGCACCCCGCCTCCATTTGAAACAAAACAGCTTCAATTTAGGCTCATTTCTGTTTCAATTTCACGTGTAGTTATTTGTTTTAAAGGGTAAAGTTGAATTGTAGATAGAAATATACATACAAATTAAAAGCTGAACGCATACCTTTAACAGCAGATTGAGTGTGGTCAGCGATGGGGCTCGTTGTTCTCTCTCCTGGAGGGCTGCTCGTACCACTTGCCTCTGTGCTTTGGACTGCAGGTACTAACTGAATCAATGGCATCACCTCTTTCTCCTCACTGGAAAGACCTTCTTCTGAGTTCTGCAGCTCAGTCACCGGACTCCTGAAAGAAAAAGTGCCACTTCTGTGCTCCATAATGGCATTATCTATGCTGCCCTTTTTCCCACTGGGTTTTGGAAAACTTGGGTTCCTGCTGGGCGCTTCCCCCTGTGTTTGGTTATTTGTTGTCTTTTCGTCTGGCACCATGGGTGTTTTCTCTGTATCATCGCCTTCCTCACTCTGAGTCCAGTATCTAAAAGGCCTCATAAGAGTGTTAACAAAGTCAGTCAGAATACTATTACTGGTTTGAACTTGGGGCGTGGAAGTAGAAATTGAGGATAATGTTGGGGTCTCAGATCCAAAGTAGCTTCCATCTTCTTCCTCATGGGCAGAGCCTCCATGCTTCTCGAAGGTTTCAAGGTCAGAAACGCCCAGAGTCTTGCTGTTATTTAAGCTGTGTGACTCATTCTGGCTGGGTTCTGGCGTTCCAGGTCCATCCTGAGTTTCATCCCAACCCTCCTCAGGCCTTAAGTGGGTGATCACATGCTCTTCGGAGATCTCAGATGAGTTGTTGATTCCAGCAATGGACGGGACTCGTACTTCATCTAAGTCAACAAGGCCAGTCCAGGTGGAAGTCTTAGGAATAGAGGCACTATCCTGGGCTTCGGTTAATAAGGACATGGCCTCTGCTGCCAGGTGAGGTGTCTGATACAAAGGCTGTGGCTCCGCAGCCTGCACCCCTGCTGGCTGGTGGGCTGAAACACACAATCAAACATCAATTGACTTGTTTTGTCTTCTACGTTACAACACAGCCCAAAACCTCACATTCCTTATTTTTAAGAAGATTAAATCCAGAGTAGGACACACATGTGTTATAGATATCACAAGTAGATCTGTTTTTCTACAAAAAATTACAACCATTTGAAATCAGCAAATATATAAATGTGACTGTATCCACAATATTATTCACACGAACCATATCTATGTTAATAAACAAAATCCATTACCATTTTTATCTACTTTTAGCTATCTGAAAGACATTATTCTTGTAAATCTGCGTTCAGCATTGTTGGTGCTATGAAGAGGTTCATCTGTCAGCTGTTTGTTTTGACAGATTCACTGCTGCTCCGCTCTCACGCTGTTCTTGTTTACTTTAAAATTACTGGGTTATGCAGATGTTTCACTTCAGTTACATTTTCATGGGCTGACAATGTGAAAGATGAAATTGTCATTCTTTCTTTTTTCCTACCTAAATATTAATTTGTAGTCTTCTCATAATATCAGTTCTTATTCTGTGTGTGTTGGTGGAAGAAGTTGGCTACAAACAGTGAACAAAATAGTTCATTCGGTTTGAAGATGAGCCCAACTTATTCGTGTGTCAGCAGATAAGAGGACAAGGCCAGACACAGTCACTGCAGACCCCAACTAGACTTGCTTTAGTCATGCTCTCACTCTTATTTGATCCACATTTCCATTCTGTCTTGCAAGCGCAGCAACCCACAACATACAAGCCCTGATATCCATTGAGGGGAAACAAATGTCGCAGTCTCTTCACAACTCCTTCATGTGTGACACCAACATCTCATGTTAATTAAAAATCAGAAGGGGAAACAATTCCCCAGATACAACGCTCGTTACCATGGCAATTACCACAATGTAACTGCATCACCTTCATTATCGCAGAGGGCTTAGTACCTCGGTAGCAGTAGGCATCAAACAGAGCTGCGGTGTCAGGAAACCCAGTCCGGTTCGGGTTGTTGTAGACAGTCCGTACCCCAGGCTCGTCTCCGCCGCAGTTCTTCCGCGGGACGTTGATGGGATAGCGAACGCTGCCATCAGCGAGCCAGCCGGGATCACACTGGTCAAGACCAGCCTGCCAGGCGAGGAAGAGCTGCCCAACAGTAGCCAGCTGGGCTCCCAAGGAATGGCAGTGAGTGGAGGCGGTGGCAAGGCTCAGCTTCTCTGGCACTGTGGAGTGAAAAACCTCACCTGGAAGGTGTAAAAAGAAGCGTTGAGTTGTATTACAGAGCAAAAGCACTTCAGCCTCGAGAAAATTTTAGTTTTGTTGGTTGGCAGTTGCAGGATTTTGAGTGCTGGTTGATTCTTGGATCATTTGGTATTGCAAACTGATGTTAAGTGAATTTGAGTTTGTGTCTGTCTCTTCTTGGTTGAACCGTATTAGTATTTTCTTTTAAGGTGCTATAACGGCAATCAGTTCTAGACATTTTCTCTTTCTCCTTTGTGAACTGTAAAAAAAAGTAAGAGGTGTAGACTAGAAGTGAGGAAGCAGAAGGCATTTATTGTTGCCTGCAATAATAAAAGGAAATCAGTAATTCAAAGTATTGACTAAAGGAAATTGTTTGAAATCAAAGACATTTAAAAAAAAGAAGATCTAAGTACACAGACAGCGAATAAAAGAAAAGAAGAAAAAAGAGGCTGAAGAATGGTGCTGTTGATGCTGATAAAGAAGAAATTCAAAAACAGGCAAGACAGAGAGTGCTCAAGAAGAACATAGCACAAATGCATTTATATGATCGCTGGCAGCTCAGGGTGTGGTGATGAAAAATATATAAGCTGGAGGGTTGGACAGTAAGAATGAGGAGCAGAAAACAGAAGAACACATTTGATACGAGGATCTAGGAGATTTATGTCAAGAAAGAAGAATGTCACTTCAGTTTTTCTGAACAGTTAAAAAGGTCAAGATCCAAGCAAAATAAAATGGGAAAGAGCCAGAAAGGGGATATATGAGGTGTTATTTGTCAGAACTATTATAGAAGATGCTTAAATAGGCATTTAAAAGGTGCTGCAAATGTGCTAATTTTTATAGATTGCAGATTAAATTAGAAAAGATTGACAAATCAGCGAAAGATCTATATACTGTCATTTTTTTGTGCAAATCAAGCCCAGCTGAGCTTTTGTACATGTAGAGAAAGGTCTGTTGCTGAGTTTATTAATTCATCTTTTAGTTTTTGTTGTTTTCTTATTAATGAATGAAACACCAGCTATGTATCACCCAGGAATTTTGCTTTGACTGCAGACAATTATTTGCTGATTACTTCAATCAGGTTGTTAATTCCACTGAACAACATTCTTAACTGCAGGATATAAAGTCTAGAGGTTGTCGTACAATTTTCTCTTCTCAGCACATCAGTCCCATACTAGGTGTTAATATTGTCTTTAAATAGTGGAATGGCTTTCTTACTACTATGATGCTTAATGACAGTTGCACACCTCATACTGACAGACCTAGATAAAGTAACCCCTGTTGCAGGTCAGAATGCGGTGTTAAAATTATTAGAAAAACGGATGCCAGTTATTATAATTGGGCTTTGGAATTTGCACGAGGTTAAAGTATGACAAACACTTAATTTCAGTCAGGCATAGACGTGATTATGGTGTGAATGACGAATATATGCAGTGTTAATATTTGCCATTTCAGCACTGAGCCCATCATTCCCCTAGAGGAAACATCACGCTCAGCACAGTAGGGAGGAGAGAGAGATGATAATCACTTTCCCCCTTGAGGAACACATACTTACAATCTACAGTTGGATTTTTGGAGGTGATCTAATATTCTCTAAAAACAGCACTAACACTTGAAAGAAGGGCTTTCATAGCAGTGTGGCAACAAGAGAGCAATCAGAGCTCTGACAGCTTAAATATACTGCGTTACACAAAGGATACACTGGACGTACGGTAAATTGCACTCATAGAGCTTGTCATGTAGTATGAGCGGTAGTGAACTTGTGATGCCTGAGCACACTTGCACAGCTGTCATCTATCTAAGATAAGTAAGGAGTGGAGAGGCTTCAGTCACCAATTAAATCAAACGGGAGGAGCAAAATGTTAGATATGTTTGTTAATTTGACCTAAAAACAATAAAACTTATCAACTAGTTTAATTGATTTATATCCATAATTCCCCCTGGTGTTTAGCCGCTGCTCAGTCCTCATCAAGATGGCAACAAATACTGTGTATCCAATGTTGAGATTAAAGAATAGAGGGCTAAAAATGTAACTGAGACGTTTGAGAAGAAAGAAGGCAAATCTCAAAGCACATCAATGACTCTTTAAGAGGAAAAAGCATCATAAAGGTCACTGGCTGACTTGATGTCGTTCAAGCTGAGGTTGCATCATCTGTCATTGTGACAGACAGGGTCATAAAATGTCCATCATAATCTATTATTACCAGTCATTTTAATTTTAATTTATCCTGATAAAGAAATATATTCAATAAAAAGATAATAAAGAAACAACTCAGTCACTGTTTAATACAGAGTAGAGAACATGCATTTATCAGGAAAGGACAGACAGTTTCACTGACCTTGGGATCACTCCTCATGTCAACACCACAAGAAGCACATAAGTTTTTACTCAAAGTGACACTAAAATACTCCAACCATTGTTATTAAACAACCAAATGTGAGGAAAACAGGATGCTCGCTTGATAAAGTAAGATAACTGATGGGGCCACTGTCAGTAATCATATAATAAGCCTCATCATAACCTCATATATTGAAGATTGGCAGCCTGTCCAGGGCGCACCCCGCCTCTTGCTCTATTATAGCTGAAGAGAATGGATGGGTGGGATGGACGAGTCTAGAAACGCTGCCCCCAGGGAGGCGATCAGAGGTCAGCAATACTGTGTTTACATGAGACCACATGCGTTTCTTCTGTATCAGGGTGCAACAGAATCCATCTATGACCTGCAGTGGTCACAGATGCACCCAAAGAAATTGAGGGAGGATGAGGATATTTCTGTATAATGTTTGATGTTATGTTTAGAAAAAGAGAAGTCACCAATGCTGTGAGCACTGTTCTTGTCACTATTGCATATGAATTATTTGCTATACAAATACAGGCCATTCTTCTAATCTGTCAAAAATGATGGACGGCCGTCTGATTTTTCTGTCATTCAGTCAAAAAGAAAAAGTCAGACAATGACAGAAAATGTTTCATCACTGCAATATTTGATTTCAAGATGTAAGTACAAATGTTTTCTTTAAATAACGTTTAAATAGCTTGATCATGTGGCCATCTTTCTTCTCTAATCCTTAAAAATGGTTTGAAGTTCTTGTAGATTTGGAGGACTTTCATTTTGCACAGTAGCAGCTTTATAAGGTGCAGCCTACCAGCTACTCTTGCTATAATCGTCAGGCTTTGAGGTGATGCAGTAAACACTGACATAGTTGTCAGATCTATCATTCAAGATTTATGGACATTTGTGAGAGAAAACCAAAGCAGGCCTCCAATTTCTAGCCAACAACCATTGATTTTGATGTATGAAAACCAACTCTGTCTCCATCCGTCTTGCAATGCTTCCAGCTAACTGGCATTGAACAGAATACTCTGTAAAAATGCTTCAAACATGCATTCAATTGTTAGATATTTTATATGATGTGACGCTAACAGATTTAGGCTATAGGCAAAAAGTCAGCCAACTTGGAGAACAACTTAAAGGTGGAGCAACACTTTATGAAATCAGGATATGCCCCCTAACTTGCAAAGTAAATCTATATTAGGTCTCTAATGTGTAAAGAGAGCTTTCCTCTACCTTTTTGCAGTTATAAGTGTGCTGTCAGGGTTCTGAGTTTTCTGCATAATATTATTCTTTTGGCTTTGAGAATCATTTGTTTTGACATTTTTCTTGTAATAGCATTTCCTGGTCGGTTTCTTTATATTTATATTTTCTGTTTTTACTTTTACTTCAAGTTGGGTATTTAAGTCACTGAGTTCCTGTGTGTTCCTGCCTCCCTTGTGTTGTCATGGCTTGTTTAGTCTCTGTTTTGTTCCCATTTTTATTTTTTTATTCCTTCTGAGTCATTATGTTAAGTTATCCTCAGCTGTGTTCTCACCCGTTACCTCTCCACCTTGTTATCATGTGAGTATATGTCGTCTGAGTCGCCTTGTTGTTTGCCACGTCGTCCCTCATTGCTTTGCGTTCCTTTGTTCCTTGTTGTCTTTTATTTGTATTTTATGGCCCTGTTTTTAGGCGTTGTTTACATTTTGCAAGACAGGATTAAGGTTGTTTTGCTTTTTCTATTGCAGTCCACCTTCGACTCCCACACAGCCGATCTTTGACACACAGTCCATGACATCTTTATTACATCCTTGTAAAAATCTCACAATAAAGATTAAAAAGATAAAAATGGAATAAGCATGACACCAAATCTATAGATTTCCCGGTTTTATTGTGTAAGCTATTGAGTTTACAACATGCAGCAATTGGGGATGGGGTAAATAAGATTTTGGACACATAAGATGTGCCCAGTGCCACCTCCTCTTGTGGCGCTGCAAATCAGAGCAAACTTTTATGATAACACTACTGACCCACTTAGCTTCTGCCTTCAGGCCTCTGCATCTCCCTCAGTTGAACAAACTCTCCTCCCTTTCCTCTCCCACTGCTCTTCTCTACACTGTGCTAACAGAGTATTAAGGCCTGGTCACAGCCTTCTGGCACTGCGAACCCTCGGCTTAGTGGACCCATGCATGACTAAACTCAAATTTATGGTAGAAGCTCCTGACTCCTACCTTGAAGACGCTTAGCAAAACAGTAGACATCAAACAGCTCATCAGGGGACCTATTGCCGTAGTTACGAACTCCAGGTGAGTCCTCACAATCCCCATAGCAACCTGGCCGTGGTGACTGGATGGGATACCTGCAGAGGAACCCAAGAGATAGGGACAATGACAGAGAGAGTGAGAGAAGAAAAGAGAGTGAGATTAATATAGCCTGGCCATGAAAAAAGCAGCCAGAGACTTGGCTCCCCTGGGATGAGTCTGTGTTCACACGCATACAAAATAAGATAAAAGGTACACTTTTATCATTGCCTGCCCTGAAATACAATAAGTTTAAACATATCTTCCTCTCAGAGTTGACCAAAATATATTTCCCAAATACTAATGAAAAATAAACACAGAGATGTCCTCTCTTGAATCTGGTTGGAAGCAAGAAATATAGTAACATTCACAATATGCGACAACAACCGCGGGAAAATAATTGGCAAGCACTTCAATGGATACACTATCTTGTTTGTTTTAATTGTTCTGCCCTCGGTGTGAGTTTCACAACCAAATCGTTTCATTTTAAATCATTTGAAAATGCATTTAGTGCTCTAGCAGTATAAGACTGTCAATGCTCGAGCTTTTAGAAAGAGAAAGAAAGAGAGATAGAAAGTCAAGAAGAGGTTAAAAGAATCAGGAATTTGTGTGGTGGCTTGGCATGCCTGTGGGGCTAAAAAGAAAAAAACAACATCAACAATCTATATTTAGGCTCCAACTGAGCAATTATTCCACAAGAACATTGTTTCCTGCAGCACCACAGCGCAAACAAAGAGGCTGATTAAAAGATTATGCTGGGCATACAGGGACTTTATGAAGCACTTGGAAAAGATGCGCAATCAAATATACATGAAGAAGACAGACATGCTTGTGATATAAGAAGAGAACAAAATCTTTTAGTGTCTCAGGCCGCAGCTACTTTCTTTTTGCTTGGTGTCTGATGAAATGGCGGTTGATGTCTATATTTTTTCACCAAGTATTAATTGGACACTTTCCTCCTGGCTGATGTGCAGTCAGAGCCTCCTGGATCTGGACCAATTAGGTAGCTCCCGAGTGAAAACAACAGGAGTGCGGGATGGAAGGCGAGAAAGAAAAAGGCAAGGAAGTCGTGCCGCAGGAAGTCTGTGAAAAACTGTCAGGCAGACAACAGTCAGTGTGCTTGCCAAGTGGAGCAACGGCAATTTGAAATTAAAATGCTGATATGGAAAACAATGTGGAGCGGCAGGCTCTGACTGGTAATGTAAAAAGGGATTTAACAGAAAGTGGCAAGCTGAAGTACATGGCTGACAGACAGCTCAGAGGGGGCTGATGTAGTTAAACTGCCTTTCCAGTGTACAAACAAGCTATTAGGTCCAATTATGTTGCACAGTATCAAGTCTATGAAAACCCCCAAAATATCACAATGACTTTCAAACTTTGATACTTTATACTTATAGATAGTTCATTAACTTGTGTTTTTGTAGACGTATTATTTAGAGATTGTCTTTTGTTATAATGTTTGATAGTGAAGAAAGCAATCAGAAATATTAGTCTTATCTACGGCTTGAAAGAGGTTTTATACCATAACTCTCTTCAGCAAACCGTGTTAGTATGAGAACTAGATAGATAACTTATTTAAAAGTCAAGTTCAGCTGCAATCTATGAGTCAGTCAGTGTCTATAGGATAAATAATGTGTTGCCTGTAACTGAAGACAATTTCCTCACAGATTCTCTAAAACTTGAAATTTGGCACACTGACTGATATTTTTCACCGAACCTCATGACTACACCTCGAGCATAGCAATCCCAACCAATGGGGCTGGGATTGCTGTAAGTAATTTTGTGCATATATCTTTAAACCACATAAATAAGGATTCAAAAAGGATCAAGCAAAGCGTTCAAAGCATGTTACAAGGTCAATTTCCACCATACAAAATCACCAAAGTAATGGATGTTTTGAAGACCTCTTCCAGTCATCCCCAGAAATACCTTCAGTCAAATGTTGTTGGGATTTTTTAAATGACTCATGTGCGTTCTTAAGTCACAGCCAATGAAAAGCACCAATCAAGTGACATAGATGAACTTCAGACAAAGCCTTATGAAAGTGAAAAGACAGAGCTTACAGAAAGTGATTGTGCTTTTTGGCACTATTAGATCATTATCCCATAGCGTCCTGCCTAACTGCTCACCACTGTTTTTTCATTTCAGCTATCATTAATGACCTTTTAAAATTTACCCCAGGTTTTCTCAATTGGATTAGCAGAAAACAATTCAAATAAATTGAGGGTACCAATTCTTACACATGTTATGAAACTATGCATGAACCCATGCCATTTCCCATTACAGTGGTCCCTTGTTTTTCACGGGAGTTACGTTCTAAAAATAACCCGCGATAGGTGAAATCTGCAAATTAGCCAATTATTATAGATGTTTTAAGGCTGTAAAAGCCCTCACTACACACTTTATACACTTTTCTCAGACAGGGATGAACATTTCACACTTTTCTCTCTTGTTTAACACTCAAAGTTCAAACCTTGTAGAAAAATAAGTCCAGTATTGTAGAATGAAACCAAAGACACCTGCAGGTGACGACGTTTTGTCGACATTGTTGTGTTTGTTGGGGAGAAAATTTACAGACATACAGAACAAGACTTCAGAGTCACACAGCTTATTTGTTGCCATTTCTAGCCAGAGGGAAAATATGTCTTTTTTTCCACATTTTTCTCCTGGATTTGCTGATGATACCCTTTATTTAATGGGGGTTTGTTGCACAGATTCCACAAAAAGACTGAGTAGTCACTTGGGTTTGTGAACTGGCTATGAACATCTTGTGTTATTTAAAGCAGACTCCATGAGTGGGGAGTTGATTTGAGTGATTTGGGGTAAACAAAAGGGTAATTAATGATAGAAGCAAAAAACATCTAAATTTAGCAGCGGTGAGGTGGGCGGTTAGCCAGGCCATTCTACGTTGTGCCAGAATTTTAAAAAACGGACATTGTGAATAAATAACTTGAAACCAGTGATTTGGACCATCACATCATAAGAAAGTAATGACAGAGGAGAAAGAATGCAGAATTAATGCACTTCAAAACTGGATTAATTTTTTTAAGACCTGGAAGCTATTTACATTGTTTATATACAGTTTCTAGAATGTAGTAATTCAGCCAGTATATTAACTAGTCATATTGAATAATGTATTCTTGAATTTTATTCCAACAAAACCCAAATAGCTCTTGTACCCAGCTTGAAAAGCCTCACCGTACAGTCTGGTCAGAAAGCCAGCCAGCGTCACAGTTGTCATAGCCATCAGCAAAGGTAGCCTGCAGCTGACCAGGTGTTGCGATGGCCGCTGAGTTCTCCATGCACACCCTCTTGGCATCAGCAAAGGTCAGGGCATAGCGGTCATGAGGGGCCCGGTAGTGGAATACCACACCTGGAGCAAAGAAATTGTGATAAGAAATAAAGAGGAAGCTCAAAAAACACGAATACATAACATGCAACCTTCAATTCACCAAAGTATTTATGAACTATAACCTTGCACCATCGAAACATGAGCATGTACATGCTCACAGGCATATGTGCACAAAGCCCCCTTGACATCCTCATCAGGTGTTGACATTGTTCCATCTGTGTGATATGAAACTACAGGATTCAGATTCAGGAACCTCTGTACGTGAGTCTCATTTGCATCGGATAGTCGGTTGGCTTATTTGAGAAAAGAGATGTTGCCCTTGGATACAGAGATTGACAAACAGTGGTGATGTTTATTTGACTGATTTAACAGTACAAACACAGTGTCACCCTGCTGCACGCCGCCTGCCTCTGAACCCGTGATGGAATGACAAAGAAGACAGACAAAAGAAAAGGAAAACCATGCGTGTATTAAA